TGTTGCATTGTGGCAAATTGTAGTCAATGTCATGAGACAAACTGTATGTGAACTGCTGTATGGAAAGTGAATTTGCTCTGTAAATTTTCACCTAAATCACAATAATAATAATAATAATAATAATAATAAAAGACCTTGGATAAGCAAAGAATTATTGAAGAAGAACAAAATAGGAGGTCTCACACTCCCAGGTCTCAAAACCTACTATATAGTCACAGAAGTCAAAACAGCCTGGTTTTGGTACAATGATAGACACATAGACCAATGGAATAGAATTGAGAACCCAATTGAGAAATAGGTCCATCAACCTATAATCAGCTGATCTTTGACAAAGGGCTGAAATCTATTAATTGGGGAAGAGATAGTCTCTTTAACAAATGGTGCTAGCAAAACTGAATATTCCTTTGCAGAAAAATGAAACAAGATCCATACCTCACACCATACACAAAAACGAACTCCAGATGGATCAAAGACTTAAATGTGAAACCTAAAACTATAAAGTTCCTCAAGGGAAAAATAGAGGCAAATGTAGGGCCCCTATAAATAGACTATCAAGTATCACTCAAAATGCACAAACAGCAGAGATAAACCATATGAATGGGACCTTGTAAAAATTAAATTCTTATGTACATCAAAAGACTTCTTCAAAAGAGAAGCTACAGATTGGGAAAAAAAAAAAAAAATTTGGCAGCAACATACCTGACAGGGATTTATTTCTAAAATTTATAGAAAACTCCAACACCTCAAAAACAAAAATACAAACCATCAAATTTTAAAATGGGCAGAAGACACGAATAGGCACTTCACCAAAGAAGATATGCAGTCAGCCAACAAATACATGAAGATATGTTCATGATTATCAGCCATCAGAGAGATGCAAATCAAAACAACAGTGAGATATCATCTCACTCCAGCACTAATAGCAAAGTTCAACAAAAACAGAAAATAACAAACACTGGCAAGGATATGGAGAGATTGGGACTCTCATACACTGCTGGTGGGACTGTAAAATGATACAACCACTGTAGAAATCTGTATGGTGATTCCTTAAAAAGTTGGCATTTCTAACCATTTGATCCAGCAATATAGGTATATATCCTAAAGAAGTGACACCCATGACAAGAACAGATACATGCATACCATATATGTCCATCACTGCACTATTCATAATAGCAAAGAGATGGGAATATCCTAAGTGCCTATCAACAGAAGTATGGACAACCAAACTATGGTACATACGCACAATGGAATACTATGCAACACTAAAGAATAAGGTAGAATCAACAAAACACCGTATAGCATGGATAAAGTTGTAGGGCATTATTCTGAGTGAAATAAGACAGTACAGAAGGACAAATATTGTATTAGTTCACTACTGTAAAAAGTCAAGGAAAGGTTTGTATATGGAAGGAAGTTTTCTTTGTTGGTTACCAGGGATGGGAAGGGAGAGGAGGGAACACTGCTAGATAGGTAGAGACCAGTATTGATTTGGGTGAAGGGAAGGGCAATGTTTGCATAGGGAGACAGCTCAAGGGGTGGGAGTGCATAGGACAGAAGGGACATAGAGAAGAGGTAATTTCAGGGAGGAAATGGGAAGAGAGCTGTTACATTGTGGAGAATTGCAGTCAGTGTCATGAAACAAAATGTGTATGAAGTGCTGTAAGAAAAATGAATTTGCTCTGTAAACTTTCACAATAAAAATAATTTTTTAAAAAGTTAACACATGCCAAATATTATCTAAATAAACAATGCTAAGATATAAAAGGAAGTCCAGATATCAAACACAGGATTACATAGAGAAATGAGACAATACATATCAAATAGGCATCGATTAATTCTATATTGGTGGTTCACGGGGAAAAATAAAACTTGAAACCTCAAAATCAGTGATGGCAGAGAAAAGAAATGAGCAGAATCTTGTTAAAGATGTTATTATTTTGATGTACAAAATATATTTCCAAATGTGTTCTATATATTTTAAGAAATATTTCATATCTAGGTAATAAATGACCTGTAACTTGTTGCTAATTTTCTATAGAACAACAGCTTCTAATTACTCATTTCAATATTCTCCTTTATCGAGAGAACCCACCAAAAACCAAACCAAGAAATGAACTCTGGTGGTGTAGTGCCTAAGGCATTTGACTGCTAACCAGAAGGCTGGGGTATCAAACCCATCAGCCACTCCGGGGAAGGAAGACTGGGCAATCTACTCCTGTAAAGATTTACTGCCTTGGAAATCCAAAAAGGGTAAAAGAAAATATCATATGCTAACATTGTGAAGAATCTAAGTTTGGGTTAGATATGGGGTGAGAGACTTGAATGAAAGGGTTGCTCAATTGGGGATTCGACACTATGAAATCTTTTTCTGGATGTCTCTAGACATAAAGTAGACTATCAGCTGCATATCTGGTCTGCTAACAAGGGAACAGGCAAGATTTTTTGAGATTCTGTTAAGCCTGGTTATCCCACAAGTCTTTGGAAATGAAAGCCTAATTAAGAGGCTCCCTAGGGACAGGTCAAAAGGGTTCTTTTATTTCTCCTGCCCTCATTCCAGTTCCTTGATGCCTTATTCCTCCCTTTTCATTCAGCCTTTTCCAAAACTGAAGAATACACAATGTGCAAGTTTCCACCTTTGTTTCCTCTACTGTAAATGCATTAGATTATTAGAATTAAGAGTTTCAAATCTCCCATCTTTTATCCTTAAACTGATACTGCTTTTTTTTTAAAAAGTGTTTGAATATTCTTCTAAAGCTTATTTTTTCAGTTGAACAAGACAAACATATATTTATTTTTTTAAAAATAAGAGGCTTTGCCTAAAAGATTACAAAGTGCCTTCAAGTGTCTTTATAATAAAGCTATAAATAATACTTGGTCAGATTTTAATTCAATTTTATGTCCTCATCTCAAATATTGTGCTGCATGGAATTACTTAAATTCCTGTTGGAATCATGTTGAGTTTCACTTCCTTGAAATAATTTTAGGACTGAACGTCTCTACCATGTCACCCAGAAAATAGCAACTGGCACACATTTTATAACCTGATATAAATTATTTTGCAGATTAAAAGTCATTATTGTCTTTCCCTTGATAGCAAAAACAAAGGCATAATAGAGCACTTCTGTTTTTACACCTTCTTCCATACCTCCACAGTCCCCCCATGAAAAGTAAGTGATGTTAATTTGTGTACATTTTAAACAAACTTGTAGCGAGAAGCCGGTTATGTCCAGTTGTGGTAACTCTCTGTGAAAGAGTAAGCCAATGTTTAGAAACGCATGTGGGCACTGCCCCACACCACACCTCAGACTACTTCACCCTGTCCCGTTAAAATTTCAACTTTTAATTTTGGTCCTCAAACTCTAATATTTAATTATAAGTCTCCTTTTGCTGACATTCTTAAACATGTAAGAGCCAAGGTAGCTTTCATGATGCTAACTCTTTTTCTTTTTCTTAAATTTGCTTTATTTTGTTGTTGAGAATATATATAGCAAAACACACACTGATTGAATAGTTTCTACACGTACAATTTAGTTATATAGATTACATTCTTCCAGTCGTGCAACAATTATCACCCTCCTCTTCTCAGTTGTTTCTTCCCCATTAATATAAACTCACTGCTCTCCAACATTCCTATCTAATCTTTCCAGTTGCTGTTGTCAACTTGATCCCATATTGACAGTTCTTAAAAGAGCATAATGATCAAGGCAGAACTTTTTTTACCAGCTGAGCTACTGTTCCATTTTAAGATAACTTCAGGGAATATTTTTGCTTTAAGATTTACCTCACAGCAATAGTTTAAGAGGTTCATCCACCTTCCATTGCCTTTAGAAAAAAACAGAATTCTGTTCTGTATTTCCCCCCTTTTGATTAGGATTCCTCTATGGAATCTTCGATGAAAATGTTAGTAATGGTAGCCAGCCACCATCAAATTCTGGTGTTACGGCAAGTAGCTAGCTGTTTCTGGAGGCAATTAGCCACACATTGCATATCCTCCTCCTATTTCTCATTCTCCTTTCTCAGTTGCTCCAGGTGAATAGAAACCAATTGTGCCTGACACTAAATCTTGACCACCCGCACTGCAATTACTCTCCCAAATACAACATCTGGTCAGCAATTGCTGCCTTCCAATTCCAGGCTCAATGCTACAGTGGATCACCTGATTGGTGCCCGTGCCTGCCAATCACATGGAAATTGTGGCTCCTCAAAAGCTACCATCTAAAAGAGACGCGGTGTATTTACGTCATCTTCAAGCGGCTCAAGCTGGAAGGAGGGGTTTGTGAACGGACCTCCGTGGTGGTGGGGGCTGCTGGCGAAGGTGTCATGGCTGCTGCCCCGGAGCTTAGTCACCCGAGCACCAGTGACGGCAGCTTGGAGCGGAGCTGCAGCCCTAACCTCTCCCGAGAGGTGCTCTGCGAAACCTTTCGCTCCCTGCGCACTCTGGCTGAACAGGTGAGTAGTTGCCTGGGAGAGTAGGGTGTGGGAAACATCTGGCCCCTCCCCCCTTTTTCCCTTTAGTTAAGGGCGGGGGCAGCCGGGGCCTGAGATATACTGGCAGCTGAGTAGCGGAGACCGGGGGAGGAAACTGGGCCCCTGCTGCCTCCAGTCGGACGGAGGAGGATGGCCGCACGGAATTAGTTGCAGGGACCGGTTGCCAACTAGATTGCCTTGTAACTGTCTTACCATAGAGTGAGTGAGGGCAGTATAAATGAAAACCCGGTTCCCGGAGATAATGAATGCGGAAAATGTAAGGGTTCGGGAGACGCCTGAAGCTCTGTGTTCCTTTTCCTCCCATTCATTATGGAAATTGGGTGTCAGTGTGGCCTGAGATTTTGGAAAAACGCCCTCGCCACCTTTTTTTCTCCCCTCCCCTCACTTTGGTTGATTTGCTCTTGTGACTCAGTTTTGTTTGTTTTTTCCCTTTTGGACGTAATCTGCGTCTATTATCCTTTCAAACGAGGAGGAAAATATAAGGAATTAATCTAAAATATTTATAGCTTACAGTTAAATGGGTTGCCCGTGGTTGACAAGTTTGCATCACAACTCTTTTTAAAATATTGACTAGTTTAATTCGTTGATAAAGAAGTTTTACGTAAAAGTCATAGTAGAAAATTTGGGTTTGAAAGAAAATGAGCTCTTAACACTCTATTCAGATCAACTCACTATTTGGTTTCATGGTATACAATTCAAAGCGAATTTTAAATGAAAAACGACCTGAAGAGATGTTTATTTGCCTGCTTTTTAAAAGGAAATATTTTCTTTTATGTCTTAGATGGAACACTTTCTAGCTATAAAAGTTTGTTCTGGGACTGGTAGTAATGCGTGTAGTGAAGTAGACACAGCAGACATCTGTGTTGAAGATAATGGTAAATTCCTATGAAAATAAAGTGTGTGCCTGATTTATGAAAATTGTTTTTAAAAGCTTTGGGTGTATGGACAATTTTTAAAAAAGTTATTTCAGTATTTAAAAAAATTCAGGTATGTTTGTCATGAGCCACAAAGAACTCTAGTTAAACATTCAGTTTGGTATAATGGAACAATGATTAATGGAATTTGCTAAAATGTAGAATGTAACTTTTAAACTTGGTTGTTTGCCAAAGACTTACCAAAAAAATGTTTTTAAAGACTTGGGAACTGTTGATTAATTATTATTAACATTTTAGTCTTAAAACCCAAGACTTTTAAATGCTTTAAAAGTTAGAGAACTTTTTATGTTGTGGACATTGAAACTTTAAAATTTATTCATATTCTAATGATTGGATGAAAAAAAGTTTATGCTAGTCTATTATTTACAGAAAGTGTTTCTGATTCAGTGATGGAATAATTTTAAAAGTTAACATTAAGAATGATTAAAACTTTTAAAAGATCTGCATTCTGAATTTTTCTAACTCATTTAAAAATTGTAAACATTCAGGTGTTCTGTAGGTATAGGTAGAGATGTAATTAAAATCTACTTATGTCATCTGTCAAAAATGGTTAGAGTAAATATTTAGTGAGTTTACCTGACACAGTGACAGGATCTTCTATACAGGTGTCAGAAATAAAATTGTGTCATCAATTAAATGCTAGCTATTTTGGTAATACTCTTTATATTTTGAGACATACTATTTAAAGATAAGAATAAAAGTCAGTATTGTAATACTTAAAATATCACCTCAGGGGAACCACTACTTCCTTTTGCAACAAGTTTAAGAAATTTAAAGGGTAGGTTATTATACTACATGGATTATGTGTCATGCCATTGTATTATTTGCTCTCCTCAAAAGGAAGCATGCAATTGAATGTTAAAAAGTATTTTCTACCCCAGATAGAAAAATTTGCTAATTTTTGCTAATTTTAACCTTATTGCTTGCTTCTAGGCCATTTTACCAAGCTGAAGTAATGTTTATTGTTAGCCTGTATTTTCTTATTATTTTAATGAAATTTTTACTGAAAATGGATATATAAATAGTCTATATTAATTGCATACTAATAGATTTTTGAGTGAATGGTTTTCTCTTGCAAATTTTATAGGGTAAAAATGCATAGGGAGTATGTTGAATGGATAATTGAACATATTAGGATAACTTTAAAGTTTATTTGTGACATTATTGTATGGTTTTCTTGAAAGACTTAAGTATTCTTACTGCACTTGAAAGTGGCTTACATAATTCTGTTGAAATGAGAACATGATCCAGACATTCAGATTTATTTTCTGTACGTCACTCTTTACTCTAGACAATTTGATGCTTTGGTTGAGGATTTGCCTGCTTTCCCTCCAAACTATATTCATAAATTTGCTGTACTCAACTGTAGATCTCTGTGAGGACTGTGAAAGTATAGTAGTTGTTTACTTCCGTACAAAAGTTCTTCTCTAACAAAATTTTCATAAAAAGCAGTAAGTAAGGTAATATAAATTAAGAGGAATTAATCTTTGCCCGTACAGCCTACATAAAACTTTCTATTTCTTTAAACTTACCTAATACAGACTTTAAATGCTTTTGGTCTTATGTTCAAAGGACAGTAAATTTCCATCTTGCAATTTTCTTTCTCATAGTGTTTTTTAATTGGATACTTTGGCTCTCTTTGATTCTTTGTATAATGATTTATAAGATCTATATGTGAACTCATGTATCACTTATCTTTATTTTGTAGAAAGCATGACAAATTTTTCATAAATGACTTCTAGTAAATTAACATATTTAACTTAATTCTACTTTGTATTATATCCTTGTTGTGTGCTTTGAACACATGCCCCTGGCAAAGTTTATAGTGGTTCACTTTTATTCACTCAGCATACACTACAGCTAGAGGCTGTCCCTCTAAAATTTTTACTGATTTTGATATTTTTATACTCAGGTTCTTGATAGTTTTCTGGATATAATTTTATTCTAATGAGGATCACACATTTCCATTTTCTAAGAAATTTTCATATAATGAGCCCTTACACCTTACTAGAAAATAGCATTTAACAAAAGATCTGGGCATTTCATCCAAGCTGTAGCCATTATTTTCACTACTATGGAAAAGTGTTTGTTATTTATGTTCAGATGTCCACAGCTAAATAATAGTTTATTTTTTATTTGAAGTAGATAAACATGTTACCATTTATCCCTATACTTTATAATTTATATGAATAATCTTGATTTTAAATTATTTTTAAAAATTGAAAGAAGTCGAAAGCAATATGTGATTCTGAAGGCATTAGAGTCATGATATATTTCAGGTCTGTATTTGTATACATATTTCTCTAACAGCAAGAAATTACATATTAGAATTTTAGTAATACGGTTGTGCTGCTTCTGTCTAATGCTCTGAGTTAGCAGTAGTAGGACTCTATCTTGGACCATATCCAAAGATTTTTAGATACTGAAGTATCAAAAGAACCTTTTTCATTTGTGGACAGTTTCACTTCAAGGGTAATCCCATTGCATAGACCCCAGAATAGAATTACAACAAAATATCATTCTGTTTTTTTTTTTTTTTAATGAAAATCTGTACCTTTCTTGGCCTTTAAAAATGATAACTAGGTAGAGTATTTTAATGTAAGATTAAAAACTTGATAACATTGAGCAAAATAGGAACATGTTATTCTATAGAAACCTTCTTTTTGTGACTATCTCAGATCTCCAGCTTAATCATGTAATTTTTGTGATGTTGCTGGTTTGCCCTTTTGAAGCTTAACCTCAGAGATGATGTGGTGAAAATTACAATCGATTGGAACAAGCTCCAGAGCCTCTCGGCATTCCAGCCTGCATTGCTCTTTAGTGCACTTGAGCAACATGTTTTATATTTACAGGTAAATTTCTTGTTAGACATGTTAACTTGATATTGAGAACAAAAATTAAAGCTGGGATATTTGTCAGTTCTGTCATAGCATTGTGTGGCTAGAGTTACTAATAAAAGGTTACCTACATGCAGATTGGATCCAAATCTGTTTATTTATATAGTGATCAGGACAGTTAGAGGAATATAGCCCAATAGGCCAACATTGGGTATGAGAATTGAATGAATGCATTTCTATTCAATTCTAGACTTGCATTGAAAATTTAATACAGTTCATCTATGGTGGGTTATAATTAAGCAATAAGACACGGCAGGTGTGTGTCATGCTATGATAATGATTCCATGCCTTGGGTGAGTTTGGAGGCTCATGGAGTGCTTTCAGAGGTTCAAGAAGTGGCATTATCCCAGCATGACACATCCTGGAGTGTCTATTGCAATTAAACAGTTTCAGCATAGTTTTTTAAAAGAAAGTAATTTCTGTGACATTAATGTCTCAGTAAGTAGCCAGTGACTATTTTAATCTTTCTTTTGCTTAACAATTTTAAATAACTCATTCTTTATACCAAAAGTCAACATTGAATTGTTATTTACAATATTATATTATTATTATTTATTATTTCAGTTCAATAACTGAACAGTATTATGACCTTGCTGGTTTCTAATTGAGCATCTCTGCAATTATAATTGATGTAAGTTTGTAGCTTATCGCTGATCAAAGGGCAAAATGTGTGAAGTCAGAAAGATAAGTGGAAGAACTGTTTGGATTGGTCAGTTCACTGCATTTAAGGTTTCAGAAGAATATTTGGTATCACAAACAATGGAAGAAAAATTGTAGATATGAAAAATATAATTGGAACATTGATCAGTGTTGGTGGGTTTCATTTGTGGAATCCACATTTATTTTAAGCCTTTCCTTTACCTTTTTTTTTTTTTGTTCCTTATTCATTTTCCTTTACTTGAGTGACTTGGGGAAAATCAAATTTCTATTTCACATTAGAAGTAAAAGTTGACCCTAGTTTTACAGGGAGAAACAATGAGCTGTAGAACTTAAGTGAGGCCTAATTTTGTGTGTGTGTGTGTGTGTGTGTGTGTGTGTGTGTGTGTTTGGTGTTGGGGGTGGGGGGTAGGTAGTATAATTTACATTATACAACAGGGCCTTTCTCCCCCCTCTGGTATAGTGAACTAAAACCAACCAAACCCATTGCTAAAGTCTGTTCCAACTCATAGTGACCATACAGGGCAGAATAGACCTGCCCCATAGGGTTTCCAAGGCTGTGATCTTTTCAGAAGCAGACTGCCACATCTTTCTCCCAGGGAAAGCTGGTGGATTGGAGCTACCAACCTTTCGGTTGACAGCGGGACACTTAACCACACTACCAACAGGATTCCTTAGGGTAGTGATATGTGCCTATTTTCATCTATGGATGTTGGTAGATTTTTGTTGTTGTTGTTCCTTGTTCATTTTCTTTTTTAAAATATAATTTCATGACCCAAGAAGCTATCCTGCCATGTCGGGAAAAGCCTCAGTGTTCACTCAGCATAACACCTATATACTTCATGTCTGTTCTTTCTCATTCACTTTGGCCAACTGCAGTTTCAAGTGGAGAATCTCCAGTGATATAGTGATAATGCAGGGCTTTGCTGAGTGAGAGCATTGGCTCTCCTGTTAAGCAGGAAAAATACTAAGCCTTAGTGTTCTGAGGAGGCATTTGAATGACATGTTAATTAAGTGGCATGGATGCCAGAGACTGAGGCTTTGATTTGGCACAAAATAAAAGATGAATGACAGAGTGATTCCCTCAAAGAAAATTTTAAATTTCCTCAGGTTTTCTTTCTTTTTTAAAAACAAATTTATAGCAAATGATAATAGTTACAATACCAGAGAACAACAAACACTTATATGTAGTCACATTTATGTATCCTGATATGCCAACTTTTTATATTTAGTAATTGATATTTAAATGTTACATTCACTTAGCAGAAATTTCTATAAATATGCTAAGTATATCATTCATCTTGATCAGTTTGAAACCCAGCAGATGGAATTGTGTTCTTCTCAGCCCCTTTTAGCAAAACTTCAACCTCTGATTAAAGAGGAGAATACAACCATTGTTGAAGAGATAGGAAAAACAGAAACGGGCAACGAGAATCAAGTAAATGCCAGATTTCCCATTGGCGACTTACAGGAAGAAGAAAAGCCCAAAGATTGTGATTTAGGAGAAGTGAAAAAGACACAAATCCATTTTGATCCAGAAGCAGTTCAAATAAAGGCTGGAAAAGCAGAAGTAAGAAATTTTATTGGGGGGTGGAGAGCACTTAAAAAAAACTTGGCATTTTTGAATTGTTAAAATATACATATTTGTTATTTGTAGATTGACAGACGGATATCTGCATTTATTGAAAGAAAGCAAGCTGAAATCAATGAAAACAACGTCAGGGAATTTTGCAATGTTATTGATTGTAATCAAGGTAACTACCTAGAAGTTAATTTTCATAGGATTTTAAGCACAGTTGCTCTGATCTTTCATTTTGTTTTTAAAAAGCAATAAAATTAATAACACAAATTTGTTTCACAGGTTTATTTATGAACCTAGGTAGCATATTTTTCTTCAGTTTAGTAATAGACTGTGTTGCAAAAATGGTTTTCATTTTGGTTACACAAAAAATCAGTAAATGCTCATGTAAAAAGGCTAATATTTACCACAGAGAAAAGATTATTTTAAAGTTCCTTTAGAAAATGAAGGTAAAGAATGAGTGGCAGGATTGTTTGGTCTCACTAGTAAGAAGGAACTGAGCCGAATGAATTTCAAGTGTATGAATGTACTTATGAACCTGTGACGTTAATACCTAAAATGAACTTAATAAAGTTAATACTCCTCAAGAGGGAGCCGTTTTCTCACTCCTCCTGGGCTGTTTGAAATGTTTCGTGTCACGATAAAACCCATGTGTCATGAAGGCCGTGTGTCTTCTTTTTTCCTTTCTTTCATAGTGCATACTTTTCATCAGATTCTCTCTACTTGATGCTGTAGTACCTTTACAGATCTGCAGGTATGCTGCAGAATACAAAATACTGCAAAGCACTGCCATAGATCACACTTGGGCATCACAGTAATAATCTGAGCAAGGACTTGGAAAAAATTATGGAGAAGAGCTCATAATTAGAATGAATGTTTTTCTTGTTTTCTCTAATATCTCTTGGCTAATTAATACAAACACAAAATTGTCAGGTGAGCCTCACATCACATTGCTACACTGATTCTTTTAATAATGAAATAATATAGCCTCAAGTTGAGTCCTCAGTTCAGCTTTTTCCACTGTTAATGGTATACATGCATACCTCTGAATTTGGTATATGTTCCTGTTAGTTTTTCAGAACAGGTGCAACAGTAGCAGAATCTTAGGTACTACAGTCCAACTGCATGCAACCCATGAGAAAGGGTTTGTTGAGGGAATAAGCACATGTGTCATTAATGCTACTCCTCTGTTCTCCTTGCTAACTCTATTATTATAAACCACCAGGGAATAGAAATTGACAAGAATTGAAATGCTCAGCAGGATTCCTTGGCCCATTCAATCCCTTGCTGGCTGAAAACAGTGCTAGCAAGAATTGCTGTGGAGAGTGACTAGCGCTCATACATTCACTGTCTTCACACCATGCTGAATTTCTTACTGATGGGTCAAGTTAATCTATATATTTGGAATATAGCTCAGGAATGGATGATATCTTCTTTTTTTAACACAGCCCTATGAAATGGTAAAAAGAAAATGGTGATGTGATGGCCCTTTACACATATTTTAAGGTGTCTTTAAAAGAAAGAAGGAAAATGAGTGTTGTATCTAAATATAAAAGATAGGTGAATTTGGAGTTTTATTCACAATTTGATTTGTCACTAGTACTACTTTAAGGAAATTTAGACTTTAAAAATACAAATGTATATTAATGTGTTAGTGTGTCCTTTTAATACCTGTCAATTTGACAATCTAAACAATGGGTTGAAAAAAAAATTCTTTAGGGAAAAGAAGAATTTTCTTTCGGTATTTGATTTACAATCCATTTTTATAAAATAATCAAAGAGTGATTTTGTAGGAAGTTTTTTTGCCAATGTATGATTTTACTTAATGTTATTTTAAGTATTATAATTTGTGAAATGTTTATGTATTATGTCACTATCTTTCCAGTCTTCCCCTTTGGTTTAAATTTATTTATTATTAAACGTATTTATTGATACTTAATTGGGGGGGAAGGAAAGAAACCCACTATGCTTTTCAGTTGGGGGGAAAAAAATGAAACGAATTTTTGCAACATCTCTTTCCGAAATTGGATTTTTGACAGGAGTAAGATGGACTGAGGTAGCCAGCTTTTATAATTAGGGACTTTTTACGTGAACATTGGAAATCTAGGTAAAATGGAAAGGTATGCTATAATGGAAGTCTCCATCTTTTTCTCTGGAGTTCTGAAATAAACAGGTATTAAATATATAGTTTTTATTATATATCCACTGATTTGATCAGTGAGTAATGTCAAAGATGCTGAATTTTTAAAAAAGATAATTCAGTAAAAATAATGAGTTCTATGATGAAGTAATATGAGTATCTTTGGCTTAGAATTAAAATATTCTCTATGATGCATAGGAACTCCAGTGGTATGGTTAGGGCATTTGGCTGCTAACCAAAGGTCAGTGGTTTGAACATATTTCTGTTTTCTCCAGAGACCATAATGGTTTTTAGGAGTGTTGGTTTTCATTAAAAATTATATAATGACACTATATCTTGAGGCCTTTTGTGTATGTAAATCTAAAAATTAGGTAAGATTAGATATTATTATACATTTTAGAGCATGGAAAAAAATCACTAAAGTTTATCTTGTAGATGATGACAATTTAATTACTGTTATTTAAAATTATATTTTTTTTATTATGAGTACTGTTAATATGAACCATTAGAAATTTATCAAATCTCATACATGTGAAGTTAAGAATATATTTAAAGTTGTTATCATCTAAATTTTCCACAGAAAATAGTTGTGCAAGAACTGATGCTGTTTTCACCCCTTATCCCGGATTTAAAAGTCATGTGAAGGGTAAGTAACCACATCGCAGTATCTTCATCACAGACAGAAGCTTATTCTAGATTATTAGCAAACAGGAATAGAAATAACATTCCCATCCAAATTTGTTTATTTTTAAACAAAACAAAATCTTGTTTTTCTTTACTCCTAGAAGGTCTTTATGAAAAAAATTTAAAGTCTGTTAGCTCAGTGGTGTGATGGTTAAGTGTTTGGCTGCTAACTGAAAGCTGGCGGTTTGAACCTATCAGCCGCTCTGTGGGAGAAAAGACCTGGAAACCCTATGTGGCAGTTCTCTGTCTTACAGTGTCTCAGTGAGTAGAAATCAGCTCTATGGCACAGAACAGAAATAACATCAGGGAGAGAGAATTTCTAATTTTTGAGATGCAAATTTATATAAGCTCAAAGATTTCTTAACTTAGTTTCTAGAGTTGTGAATACTTACGGACCACAGACTAGACCTGAAGGAGTTCAAGGGTCAGGTCATAAACCTAACAGCATGCTTCGAGATTGTGGTAACCAGGCTGTAGAAGAGCGACTACAAAATATTGAGGCTCACTTGCGATTGCAGACAGGTAAGTCCAGTGCTGGGTGGTTCCCCCTAATGTACCTTTGCAAGTGATTAAAGAAACTACAGTTCATTTAATCACCAAATAGTCATTGAGCACCTGGCCTGTACAAAACATTTTTGATGTCAAGGAATTTACAGTTCTTGTTTATGCTCTTCTTTCTCCTTTCACTTTTCTCACCCCTTTTTCCAATTGAGAGCATGGTAGTAGAATGGGAACAGATTCTAAATAGATCTTGATATTCTTAGTTTATTGAATTCGTAGTTGAAAACTAACATACACAATCTTTTTCCTGCCACCAGTTTTATATTGTAACATGACTACTTCTCATTCCTATCACCCATCTGCTGTGCTAGATACAATGTGTCGATAAAGGTGATCCTAATCCTTAAGGATGTGTCAGTGAAATTAAGCATATAAATAAATAAATGCTCTAGGAGAAGTGAACTGACGTTTATTAAACAATACTAAGTGCCAGCAACTCTGAAAGCATTATCCATGTGTGAGCCCACTTAATACTTGAACAGTACCCTTGTGAGGGGCTGCTGTTGTTACAACTGTACAGATAAAGAAGCTGAAATTCACAGAGCCCGAGCCACATGCCCAAAGTAATAAGTGACAACCGGGATTCAAACCTTCATCTTAAACTAGTTACAAAGCCTGCATCTCCCTTCTTATTTAGTCACTAGGTCTTGTTGATTTTGTCATCTAAATATCATCCTCCACCTCCGTCTACCTGCACTGGTGCTACTGTTGGTTGAAGCCACTAGGGTCTCTCCCTTTCACTGATAGAAGGGTATTTATTAACTGATGTCTTCAGCTATTCTTCCTCCTCTAGACCGTTCTCTATTCTGTAGCCAAAGTGATTTTTCTAAAGCTGAAATCTGATATTGTTCTCCCCAGCTAAAAAAATTCTTCAATGGTTTTCTCTTGGCCGTAAATGCATACCAAATTTAGTATTTACTCATTTGTTCAACAAATAGATACTGTTGTTGTTATTGTTATCTGCCATTGAGTCAGACCTGATTCATAGCGACCCCTCCTTGGGTTTCTGAGGCAAATGGACACTAAGCTCCACTATAAGCCAGATACTGTTCTAATGCTGAGAATGCATCTGAACAAAAATTCTTGTTGGAGGATACAGAAGCCATAAATTATAAAATATGGTACATCAGAAAAGGGCTATGGATAAAAGCAGTGAAAGATGGGAAAGGAGTTGGGTGGGAAGGGGTTATAATTTTAAATAGTGTAATCCATACCCGTAGTGCTAGCCACATCTCTGAGTGCCTCACTTCCTGCTCATTTTGCTGTCTTATCCTTTACCCATGCTTTTCCTTCTTGATCCAAGATCAGTGGAGGTTCCCCTTTATATAGTCTCATAATACCCAGTACTCCATCCCTTCCATTATAACAGTTACTACAGCTCTGTTTCCTTAACGTCTTTCTTCCCTGTAGAGAGTACGTTCTATGTCTGTCATGTTCATTGCTTTGTTCCCACTGCAGTGCCTGGCACAAAGCAAGTGCTCAAATGTTTGTTGAATGAACTATTGCTCATTTTACCTTTTCAGTTAAGTGCAAAGTAAACTCGGGACACAAAGTTAGGACACAGAGACTTCAGGGGGATGTCAAGGGATGGTATACCTGATAAATGACTGATATGTGAGACCTTGGAATATTAGTAGTAATTTTTTCAGCAGGCAGGATAAAAGGGAACAGCATCTACAAAAATCACAGAAGTGCAAAATATTGTTCAGGGAATTTCTGAGTCTAGTTTAGCTGGAGTATTTGCTGAATGGATATGGAAGAAGATAAGAGAACGAGTAAGTCTTTAAGGATAATGAGAGATTAGCACTAAAAATTAATCTCCTTCCGCAGAAGTAGATAGTGTTGAAATGTAACTAAATTATTTGACTGGTTTGTTAGGTTTCTAATAGTATCAAGTAAATTTTTTGACAGATACCTATTGAATGCATACTATGTGGTAAGCATTATCTTAGACACTGTTGTTGTTTGCCATTGAGTCGGCCCTGACTCATAGCGACCCCTTCTTGGGTTTCCGAGACAGTATCACTACGGAAGTAGGATTGCCCAACCTTCCTTCCGAGGAGTGGCTGGTGGGTTTGAACCGCCAGCCTTCTGGTTAGCAGTCAAGTGCTTTAGCCACTATGTTACCAGAGCTCCCATCTTAGACACTAGGGATACTAAAATAATGTAGTCATAGTCTCTGGCTTCAAGGAATTTGTAATCTGATAAGGGGAGAGACACATATTAATAATGAAGTAGAATGTTAAAGGAACTGTGAAGGAAGGGTATGGTGGGAGCACAAAGGAGCCTCCGTGTGAAGAGGTTTAGGTAACACTTCATTGACATAGTGAAGCTTGAATTAGATCTTGAAAGGTACGGAGGGGAGGCAGGGGACGATCTAGGTAAAGGGAGTGGCAAGAGAAAAGTCAAATGAATAAATTACTCATTTTATCTTATTACCAAGAACAAACAAGATCCTGAGATAAATATTTTTTTTCTTTTTTTAATTGTGATTTGATAAAACTTTACAGAGCAAATTCATTTTCCATACAGCAGTTCATACACATTTTGTTTCATGACATTAACTACAATTCCCCACAATGTAATAGCTCTCTTCCCATATCCTCCCTGTAGTTACCTCTTATCTATGCATTTCTGCCCTCTGAGCTATCTCCCTGTGAAACAGTGCCCTTCTGTTCTCCCACAATTGATCAGTAGCACCCAGGAGTGTATCTACCTGATTTAAATGTTCACCCCATATGCCTGTGTGTTGTTTGGCTGGAAGCCATAAGAGTGAGTTCAATTTCAGACCTGAAGGGTAACAAGGGTCCATAGTCTTGGGGGTCTCACCAGGCTCTGTCAGACCAGTAAACTTGGTCGCCTTCTTTTTTTTTTTTTAATGATTTTGAGCTTTGTTCCACATAGTTCTCTCATTCTATCCAAGATCTTCTGCACTGATACCTTTCTAAGTGGTTGACAGTAGTAGCTGGGCACCATCTAGTTCTTCTGGTCTCATGGTCATATAGGCTAAGGATCACATGGTGTGCTGGTCCCTTTTACTAATTGTTTCCCTCTGTCTTTGGTTTTCTTCATTCTTCTTTGCTCTGGATGAGGGGAGACCTATCATTATATCTAGATGGCCACTTGCAAGCTTTTAAAACCCCAATTGCTACTCATCAAGAGATAAACACATTCTTAAAGAAGAAACATATTTCTAGAATTTTATATTTAATAGGTTGATATACCTGATATGAAAAATTTCCTGATATTCTTAATTATATAATGATAGTTTAATCATTCATTCAGTAAATATTGAGCATCTGCCATGTGCCAGGCATTGTAGTCTGTGAACTAACATCTAAGTATCCTACATGTGCAGTACCCAAGCTGCATAGCCATACACAGTGAACAAAACAGATAAAACACTCTGCTCTCTTGGAGTTTACATCAGAGTGAGGAAATAAACAATAAATGTTAAGAAGTATACAGAGGTTGAGTGGTGATAATGGAGAAAAGTGAGAAGGATGAGGAGTCCCAGGATAGAGGAGGGATAGGACTAGTAAGTGGAATTATCTTGACAGCAGTGGATTTTAGGGGAGAAAGCCTTACTGATGAGGTGACTTTTGAGCCAAGACCTGAAGGTGATGACAGCAAGCTTTGGGAATATGGAGGCAGAGGTAACTGCAAGTGCTAAAGCTTGCCCTGGTTAAAAAACAACAGAAAAAAAGGAATAGGGTGGTTGGAGTAATATGCACGTGAAGAGAATGTCCACATTATATTGGGCCATTTAGGCCATTGTAAGCTGTGATTTTTGTAATCTGAATGAGATGGGAAGATACTGGAAGATTTTAAGCAGCGAAGTGACATGATCTGACTTACATTTTAAAAGAATCATTGTCTGCTGTGTTGAAAATAGATCTGGGAGAAAGGCAGAAGCAGGGAGACCATTTTGATGGTTATAGTAGTCAAGTGAGAGATGGTGGTATTCTGGACCAGAATGGTCACAGTGGGGACCTAGTGAGAAATGAAAGGATTCTAGATAGAATCATGAACTTGAAATTTGTGTGATGTTAATTTTTCATCTCCCTTCCTTTCTCAGAAAGTTTGTTAGTTCAGAGTTGTGGTAAAGCCCTCTTCATCATTTTCCAGGTTGAAGGAGGAGTAGGTATGTAGGGAGAAATATAAATTGAGGAGAATAATGATATAACATATTGTAACCATGGAATTGAATTGTCAGTTGTCACTGTGCATTTTTCTCCTCCTGGGTAACTGCCAAAGCTTATCAGAAACAGAAATTGTTCTATATAGGAATCATTTCAGTATCTTATGAAATTAACATAAAACAAAACTCCTGTCAATATAGGAAAAATAAATGAGGCTTAGGGAGGAGGTATAAAATAAATCTGTCCCATAGGGTGCAATATGAAAATGTGAGCTAAAGATTTCATTCTATTTTATTTTTGTTCATTAATTTTCTTAAGTTTAAATATTTCCCATGTAAGTGTCTTTGCATGGTATTTTAAGAATAAAAATTGTGAGAGAAAATTATTCAGTAGTATCTCAGAATTTCTTTTTAATGTATTTAGGTGGTCCAGTACCAAGAGATATTTATCAGAGAATTAAAAAACTTGAGGACAAAATCCTTGAATTAGAAGGCATCTCTCCAGAATACTTTCAATCTGTTGTAAGTATAAGTGCCTTTAAAAAATAAATAAAAATGTTATTTTATTTTAGGAGTCTTCATTGTATAACAGGAGCTCTGGTAGCGTAGTGCCTAAGGCACTTGACTGCTAACCAGAAGGCTGGCAGTTCAAACCCACCAGCCACTCCTCAGAAGGAAGATTGGGCAATCTACTT